GTCTCACCACCCTCACAGCAAAAACTTCTTCCTAATGTCTAATCTAAATTTCCCTTGTTCAATTTCTCCCCATTCCTCCTTGTCTTGTCCCTGCAGTTCCTAACCCAGAGTCCCTCTGCAGCTTCCCTGGAGCCCCTTCAGCTCCTGGCAGGTTGCTCTGAGGTCTCCACACAACCTTCTCTTCTCCAGGCTGAACAGCCCCAACTCTCTCAGACTGTCCTTGTGGAGAAGGTTCTCCAGTCTTTGATCAGCTTTGTGGCCTCCTCTGGCCTTATTCCCACAGTTCCATGATCTCATTTCCCTGAATATTATCCTCTAGTACCTCCTGCTTCAGAGGCCCTTGGTGACTTCACATCAGAAAACAACTCTTTGCTTGTTAATGTTCTCCTGGAGTTACTTTTCCCTGGGGCAAAGGGATGTGTTGTGGTATGGTCAATGACCAGTTCTGTTCACTGACAGGTGTTCCTGGTTTTACTCCCCAGCAGGTCATGCCCAGAAGGCTCCTGTGGCCCCATCAGCCTCGGGAGCACCATCAGTGTTCATGGCCACCGCAGTCCTTGCGTACCGATAGTAAGTGCCTTCCTGCACCACCTCTGTCTGTGTCTCTGGGAGCTCCACTCCTCACCACAGCACAGGGATACCTTTGGATGAGTGGGAACAGACTGTGCTTGTGTCTGCATGGTAGAAATGCCACAAGTCAACACACGTTTCTGCCTCAGAACAGCTTCAGTTGCTGCAACTGAGGCAGTTGTCAAATCAAGAGCAAGTTCTGGATTTGCTCCTTGCAGGGAGCTGTGTCCTGGGGTGCTGGGGTGGCATGTGCACTGCTGCAGGCAGCTCTGGGTGTCTCAAGCATTCACTCATGGACAGCTGAGGTATGGGCAGAGTGGCAGCAGTGAAATTCTGTGTTTGACACTGCCATCATGGCAAAACTCATCTGCTCTGGGGCTGTGAGAGCAGTTTCAGCTCACACTCCGTAAGGTGTGCTCTGTGGGCATGCAGCAATGTCTTGGAGCTAAGCAAGGCTGCTTGATATTTTAGGCCTGAGGAAGGGGAGCTGAACTATGAAGGAGGGAAAACTCATCAGCAGTAGAGAGAATTCTGTCAGGGACAGTTGTGCAGCTCAATGTCTCACTTGTCTTCCAGTACAAATGGGCAGTACTTGAAGCAAGGCAAGTATGGAGCAGCTGTAGTGGGGAACCATGCTACTAAAGAGGTGAGAAACACTTCCTTCCCTGACATTTTCATGCCTAGAGTTTGCTAGTGTGAGGTAATGTTTCTCTGAGCTCTCCAGGATGTCTTTGCTGTGGAGATCTTAGTTCCCCTCTTGTTTTTCTTATGGCTCAGCCATTCCCCTTGGGCCATGTGTTCTGCAGTCCATGAGTTTGTAAGATCTCTTATAACTTGTGCCTGACACTTTACAATCTTCCCAGCCCCTTTTCCCATGTTTCTGACAGTGATTTTGGTATTTATTCAGAATGTTTTTGCCAACTGGATCCCAAATCTGTGCATGTGGAAATCAATTTAAGGAAGTACTTTGCCTGACAGCACAGAGATGCTTTGCTTAAGTTTTGGTCTTTTGACATAAAAAAATCTCTCTCCTTCCTGAGTGCTCCTGTAAGAACACAGCCCTGAGGTGCCCAGAAAATTGGTGTGTTAAAAAGGTGCTTTGAAATCTCTTATCTGTCTGTGATACTGGGATCTGTGAGGTTTCATACCTCCAGTTCCTAATTCCTGTTGTCTCACTCAGTTGCCTCTTCAGGAACAAAAATAGTGTAGTTTGGTAAACTTATTCCTGAGTCAGTGATATGAGAGGTGCTGAGGTGTGTTGTTCTGGGACAGGAAAGCTGCCACAGCCTTCTTCAGGCTGTGTGATACCACATCCACCTGGGAATGGTGAGTGGGTTACTCCCAGTTCACCACTGACCTGTGCCCAGTGCAAGTGCCAAAGGAAATCACTTCCTCTTAGTAGATCATGTCCACTAGAGCCAATTATGTCAGTATAATATTATATCCATGTTGTTTAGTGCTTGGAAAGCTCTTTCAGCTCAGTCTGTTACATGTTGATGTAAAGCAAAATAAAATGATATAAACAAACACCTTTAGGTTGGATATTAGCCTGAATTTCTTAATGGTAAGAGTTGTCCAGCCCTGGCACAGCTGCCCAGGGCAGTAGTGGAGTCACCATCCTTGGGGGGGTTTGAAAGCCATGTGGATGTGGCACCTGTGGATATGGTTAGTGATGGCCTGGACAGTGCTGGGGAATGGTTGGACTTGATGATCTTGTGTGTATTTTCCAACCTAAAGGATTCTGTCACTGTTCCATGCCGTAAGTTGTGTGTATGGAAGGGTTTAGTGCCACATCTTCTGCACAGCAACTGTGAGAAATGTGGAATTAGTTAATTTTATTAACTAACTTGATTAGTGGAATTTGCTTGTTGCAAAGTCATGAGTAGGAGCTGCTTGATTCCTGCAGCTAAATAAAGCTGATTATAGTCAAGGGGTTTTGTTGGGTGTTCCTTGTGTGAAGTATTGTTGTGTGAAAACGCTGCTGCATGGTCTGTTGGGCAAGTACATCCTGAGCCTTAGGCTCAGGGTTTGACAGAGCTCTTTAGAATTGAAGATGTTTTGAGTTACTCCTTTTTGTTCTTCTTCCGTGCCCAATTCCTTGTGGAATCCAGTACAGGATCCTCCTTTACATCAGTCAGCAGCAGCAGATCACATCTGCAAGGATCCACCCAGGCTTTGTACTCACGGTAAGCTCTGGGCCAGGGAAGCTTTGGGTAGTCAGAGCTGGTCACAGCAAACACAGGTTGGCTCTGAAATGCTTTCTTTAAGCCTTAGTTTCTAACCTTTGAGATCAAACATCTGACTGACATGGCAAGAGGTGTCACAGTGACTGTTCTCCTCCTCCTGTGTTGCACAAGAGGCTGTTACACCTGCCTTTTGCAGGGCACCTCAGTAGATTTCATAACCAAGTCCATACCCTGTAGGAGGTAAATTATTACCTCTCATCTCAGATGTTTTGGGGTTTTCAGTCCTACAATAGATAGAAGCAGCACAAAATTTCCTTTGCTAATGACTTGTAGTGAAGTGACTGAGAGAATCCAACGGAACAAGCAAAAGGAAATGACAGCAAGGAAATGTTTTCTCTCAGAAAATTGACACTCAGCATTTTCCTGCTGTTGAGAACAATCTGCAGCATTGTAAGCCTTCAAATGGGATCTCTCAGGAAGTTGTTTTCTGCCAGTTTGACAGAAATTGATGTGTTGCTTTGCTGTTCTTAACTTGGCATCATATGAAAGAAAACTTCTTGATTTGATAGATAGAAGTTTCCCTCTGAAAGAGCAGAATTTGAGTCCAAATTTGTGACCAGGATGGTGCTTTGCTCTCTAGTTTCATAAGCACATCTTTGAAAGGTGAACAGGTTATATAGTCACTTCTGGGGACATGGGTTTTGGGAAGGAAGGAGTGACTCTTCCAGTTGATTCTGGAAGTCTAAATATAATCCATACTTAAATGCTTAAAAACCTCAGTGTATATTACAGAATTGAGCTTCAAAGCAGCTTGTGGTACTTTCACCATCTCATGCAAGCTCTGGCATCTATTTAAAACTTAGTATTTGCTCAAATATTTGAGTTGTAATACTTCTTCCATGAAAGTGAGCACATAAAAACTGACTTGTGCATTCTGAACTTGAGCAGTAGAGCAGCAGGATTCTTCCTCTGCTTCATTTCAGTAGCTCTGATTTGAAGCTGCTTTTGAACATGGATTTTTTTTTTTAGCTTAGTTAAATGCATTGTTTAGTATGTGATAGAATTGATTTTCCTTCCCCACAGGTTCAAGCCAACAATTATAGCACGTTCTATGATGATCAGAGGCAAAACTGGTCCATCATGTTTGAGTCAGACAAGGCAGCAATGGATTTCAGCAAACAGGTAACTGCTCGCTCTGGGTGAGGCAGGACCTGCTGTCCTGGTTGGGAAATGGGCAAATCCAGGGGTATCTCTTACCACTGGGAGATTCTAGGTCAGTTGGACTTGTTCACTGCAGTTCAGCTTTTGTGTGTGTGACCATGTGAGACAGATCTATGAGGAGCCTGGCTGAGTTCTGTGCTTTAAAACCTCTTGGAGGCACAGAGCCTGGTGGGATCTTTGAAGCTTCTCAAGTACTGTAAGACCAATGACTGTATAGAGCAGTTGGTATTGACTTAGCAGAACTCAGCACAAGGAGCCATGGAAGGCCTTGGGAGTGCATTCCTAGCCTGGGCTTGATCAGCACAGTAAGGAATGCATCAGGGCTGTAAGGAGTGGAACTTAATGGCTTTCCCTTGCAGGTGTGCATTGCCAAGTGCAACAGCTCCCCAGGGCTCGAGTCTGTCCTCTACCAGGATCTCCTCCCTGGAGAAGGGCAGGGAGTAGAAGCAGGAGACTCTCTGGAGATTGCCTATACAGGTTGG